GGCTGCCTTACAGAAAAGTGGCGATTTGTTCCTGTCTTTCCGCCTAGGATGCTTTGGCCTGTACCTTTTTAACTGACACCTTTTGAATCAGAGTTGGCTGTAATAAATATTACCCTTTTGGTTGTTAGGATTGATTTCATGGGTCTGACTGATGGTTACAGGACCCCTTCCTTACAGTCCACGGAATTCTTTCCATATTTAGGATTTGCAAAGGACAAAGGACCTTACTTTGGTTAAAAGTGTATTCCTTCCCCTGGCTTATTCATCTTTGTATCATGAGCATTGTGCACAGAACCTGGTATTATTTAAATGTTTACTGAATGATTAAATACTGTGGGTGATAGAAATGGCTAACACTTCTGTATTTGGGTAGAGTTTGATAGTTTATTCAGTCTGGGTAAAAGTTGAAATTATGCTTCATAATATTTTTAACAATAATACTTAACAGATACATATTAGGGTGTATTTACAGTTATCTACAAGTGTGTGTACTTATGGAGAATATGGTCTATAGATAGTTATTTAATAAACAGTGCCAAATTATTTTCACTTAATAAACCCATTCAATAGGACTTGAAATATTTTAGTTTTATCTCTGCCTATCACTTCTGCAGCTGAAAAAAAAAAAAAAAAAAAACTTCCTGGGCAAGAGATTAGTAATATTTCTTTTTACTGGAATATTCTACCTCCTGATTTTCTAAGTGAAAGGATAATTGTATCATTTCTAATTATGAGCTCCAATTTCAGTGTAAAAGCCAAGCAATGCAAATTTGGTTTCTTATCTAGTTTATATCTGTATTATTTAGAGGATATTTCTGCATGGATAATTTGTGACAAGGTTAGTGCATTTCTCTTCTTGAAAAATGTATTTGTGCTCCTAATTCCTGACTAATGGAGAAGCAAAAGATATTTTTAGTGTCAGCTTTCATCAAGTCAGACCTTTCTGTAGACCTTACTAAATTCTATTTCCATGGGAATTTTGCTAATGGGTATGTGCAACATTACCCAGGTGCTTGTAGATAAGATTACAAATTAAAAATAAAAAGAAGTGGATGAACAAGTACATCATTCTTAAGACACTGGCAGAATATTAGTCTGAGACTTTCATTTTCACTTTGCATTGTTTTCAGATCAAGTACAGAAAGTCTGAATTTGGTATTCATGCATGAGATTAGCTTAGACAGTATAAGTAATGAATTTCCTAAGTGGATTCTTTGTTGTAATCTCATATACATAAGGCATAAGAGAGAGCCTATCTTCCAGTGTGTATGTTGAGTTAACAATATTAGTGATGTTAATGGGTTTTACAGGAAAATGGAATATTGATGGCATATTTAAAAATAAGCCACCCACTTTTATTGTTTGTATACTAACTTACTGATATATTTTATAATGTAATAAGTACCCAGGATACATCTTAAAACGTAGAAAACTGCTAAATATTTATTGAATACCTACCTGTCAGTTACAGTTGTTTAGGGCTTAGCATTAGCCTTCTTCTCATACTCTATTTTTATGGTTTTAAGTATCATCAGTGTGGGCTGGGGATTTAGCTCAGTGGCACAGCACCTGCCTGGTAAGTGTAAGGTCCTGAGTTTGATTCCCAATACCAAAAAGAAAAAAAAAAAAGTATTATCAGTGTATCATTGGCTCCCAAATGTGTATCTCTTACCTAAATCTCTTTTTAGTTTTCCAGATGTATTTCTTGTATTTTCAGGGAAATTGCATATGCCTATCAAGCTAATCATGCCTGAAACTGTACTTTTGATTCTCTCCTTTAGATCTGCTGATAATCTTGTGAATGCTCCTCTGTATGTGATGCATCACTTTTGTTATTTTTAGGGGTCTGTAACTGACTTTAGACAGTTTGATTACATCTGATGTGGTTCCCATTAGATTTTCCTAGTTGAAATTCATGGGCTCTTTAAATTTGTATTTTCATTTGTGGCCGCAAGTTTGGGACGTCTTCAGCCCTTACTACTTCAAGTAACCAATATGCCCTTTTATCTTGCTTTAGTTCCTTTCTTTTGTCTTTTCCTACTGGGGTACTCATAATGCACAATTGATCTACTTGATATTGTCCTCTAAGTCCCTTATGCCTTCTTTGTTTTTCATCTTTTTTTGTTCCTATAACTTGATGATTTCAAATGACTTGTTATTGAAAATTCATTGATTCTTTATTCTGCCTTGTTAAATCTGTTGTTTAATCCCTATAATGAATCTTTCAGTTCAGTTATTCTATTTTTCAGGTCCAGAATGGTTTTCTGAGTAGTTTCTTTCTATTTGTTTTTATTTGCCTTTTGTTCATACATGATCTTCTTGAGTTTAATAATATATATATTGATAGATATACACACACATACATATTTTCTCTTTAAACTCATTAAGCATCTTTATGATGATTATTTTAAATTCTTTGTCAGGTTGGTCATAATTTTGTGTTTTGTTAGTATCCATTTCAGGGGTGTCATTTTGTTCCTTTGATTGGGCCATGTTTTCTTTATCCCTTGTCATTTTTCCTGTGAATTGGGGGTTTTTATAAATAGTTACCTTTCCAGTCTTTACATACTGGCTTTATACAGGGAAAGACCCTTACCCGTCAACCCAGTTGGGGAGCCTAGGACCTCTCAAACTTTTCATGGTACCTTACTTTCCCTGGAATTAGCCCCAAAACTGTAGCTCTGATACTCTGCTCCCCATTTTTAGTGCCTTTTAGAATCTGGTGCTGGTCCTGTGAGTGCTTCTGGTCATTCAGGAGAGTGACCACAATGTGTTGGGCAGCCCCACATGAAACCAGAGCATTGAACACATACTAAGAAAGAGCCCTGGTATGGAGCCTTTCCTCCTCGTTGCTTCAGTGTGCCATGTAGAGGCAGGAGCACACACATGCATTGAATGCTACAAGATGCCTCCCCTTTTATTTGGAATCTCTTCTTGGTTTTACAATTACCTGAGTGCCTAGGACCTCACAATTGGTATCTGTTATGGTTTGTGTCTGGGTGTCCCCCCAAAGCCTCATGTGGTCATGGGGCAGGCTTTTAGAGTTTGATTGATTATGGGTGTGAGAGCTGCACCCACCCTGGGGTGGATAGTTTGCGTATGTAAGGGAGAGCAAGAGGCTGCTTGCGGCCATTCCTGGCTTCTTGTGCTTGTTGCTTTTGCTGTGTTCTGCCGCAATGAGCTGTAGCCCTCTGCCATGTGCCAGTCTGCCTTGTAACCTGCCAAGTATGGACTAAAACCTCCACAAACTGTAAGCGAAATAAACCTTTCTTTCCTTAATTTTGGGCGTCAGGTATTTTGTCCCAGCAACAAGAGAAAAGTAACCAAGACAGTATCCAGCATTCTCACAGATCTATTCTGTTCCATATATTATTAACTTGGCGTCTTTGTGGATAGGAGAGCTTGCAGCTTCCTAGGCTACCATCTTGCTGGTGCCACTATATCTATTATAAGAAATATGTTTTCATAGTTATATTGCCTTTCTTTTCTCAGTGTAATATGTTAGAAAATACCACTTTGAGATAAAGTAAAGCAAAATGTAGGAAACAGCCTGGCTGACTGTAACTTCTAGCAAATGAATTGTTCAAGTAATGATTCAGTTTTCATTCCCTCCTAATTTTTGGCATGGATGAGTATAATGAACTTGCCCTGTCTTCCCTACAAATTAGAGGTAAACCTGGGTCTGTTATCTCCCTTGGCTGATGGGAAGACTTAGGTAGATCATGCTGACTAAAATTTTCTAAGTTTAATGATAATGTGCCAATGATGTATTCTTCTAATATATCAATTAATTTTTTAATACAGCTTGCAGCCTTCCTAATTTTATATCATTCTTAAAGGATGAGGCTTTATAGTTGAACACTTCTTTCTTTTTAAAGCTTCCATAGTTGGATGGATGGATGAGAGAAAGCAGCTGTGACCTTTGATGCTGTGTGCTTAGGCTTCATGAGGGTGACAGTACTTTTTCTGAACATAGCCTCCTGACTTTCCTGGTGTTAGCTGGAGAGAACTTGGTTTGTCAACAGAAGTGGAAATCATTAAAACACAGAAAACAAAAACATAAGACTGTAGAAATGAGAGCTAGAATTGATACTATGTTGGAAATGACCACAAACAATGAAATACATGAAGTAACCCCTGTTAGCAGCAATTGTCTGCTTCCTTACAGTGCCAATTTTATGTCATGTGAGCACAACAGTAGGATTGGGGCAGGTGAAACATTTCTGTCATTCTCTCTTCATTAACTTTCACTTCTCCAGAGAGACCTTGAAGAAAATAAATACATTTTGTCAGTTTTTAGCAACTGATTCGAATTGTTTCCTCAGATTACAGATCAACTGAAGCAGGGTAGGTTCTGTTAGGCTGGGTTTAGTGTAATATCACTTACCTACGTCATCATACATACATACTCAGTACTGTTACTTACCACCTGGTGCACTCATGAAGGTTTCTCTAATGCATATGACTTGAAACAGAGTGTTTTAAGTCCTGGCTTTCAAAATGTGTTAATTGTTAACTTTTGCTGAGACTGTATAATCTCAGCATTTAAAGGTCGAACTGGGAGATTAGTGCTTAGAGACCGTAGCTGTGCTGAACTGAAGCATTAATGGCTGGATGCATTCATTCAGATATGCTGCCTCCAGTGTCTTTATGTAGTGGTGTTCACTAGACTTCAGATGGACTGCTGAGAAAGATGATCATATACTATCTGTGTTGAACAAATAATAAAATTGTTCTCTTGCTGCCATTTATTTTATTAACATTTGTGAATCAACTTAAAGAACAGATGTCCCTGTAGAGTTGAAACCTTTTACTAAAGTGGAATGTTACTAAGTGCATTTGTGAATTATAGGAATTGTGGGGTTGAGTAGCCTGGGCAAAAAAATTTTAAACCACTCAGAGAATAATAATATAGCATATGTTGATGCTAGTAGATAGAAAAGAGGCAGTGTAAATTGTATTTCACTAAATTCTTTTTTCCTTATTTTTCTTATTTGTAGAATCTGGAGAAAGTTCTTGTGGAATTCAGTCATAAGGAATTGTTTGATTTCTATAACAAGGTCTGTATATTTAAAATAATTTTCTTATATGTAGGGATTGGCCTAATGTTGCCTTCATTTTCTAAATTTTTATTTCTAAATATGAACCCTGTTTTGGAACTAAGTTCTTTAAACCTCTTTTATAAATACCGTATATGTCACTGTTTGAAGCATAGCCAAGATAGAAAGAATCTGCACAACTAAATCAGGAAGCAAATGGAAATTGTTTTAATTAAAGTGATACTATTGTTGCTTTAATGTAAAGCATTCAGTGGTACATCGGGTAATATCTAGCTACCGTGATACTTTAAATGTAGATCATGTGAAACAATTTAATTTCTGGGCCCAAAGGTAAAAGGATACATGGAAATGAAGATGTCAGGTCTTTAAAAATTTATCTTTGTGTATTTTTCTTGTTTCTTTCCAAATCCTGATTTTGTAATTCAGAAAAATACACTCTGCTTCCCCCATACAACTGTAAAATCTTACTGTGTAGTAATAATTTAAAATGAAACAGCTAGATATACTTCAAGTAGTATTTAGAAGTTCTGCTTTACAAATTTGGAAAATAAAATGGCAAGCATAAGTTCCAACATCTTCACATAAAAACTTATTCAAAGTGCCATTTGATTGTCGTGTGAGTAGATTTAATATGCATAGTTATGAGTGCTATTCTTTCCCTTTTATTTGCATGTTTCTAAACAGCAGTTCATAGGAACTTTTTTTCCCATCACCAACTTTCTGTTTTGTTTTGTTTTCTTTGTACATAGCTAGAGACTATACAAGCACAGCTGGATTCCCTTACATGATGTTTTTGAAGACCGGTTTCTCCATCACACTCCTGCTACCCCATTGTTTTGCATTGAAGAGAGATTGCCTAGCTGTGTTTTCTGGAAGATTCAGTGACTTTCTTTCTATAAATTATATGGCTCATCACTTCTTAGACAAATAATAACCAAGAGAAATCAATGTTAAGAGCACTGAGGTTCTAATACACAGCACTTTGCTAGTTCTGTGAGCCAGTAGCAATTGTTAGGAGCACTTTTGCTTTAAAGAAATCAGAAGTGGATAGTATATTGTTTTACTGTCATCTGTATTGCCTCATCTGTTCATTGTTTACAGGCTTGATAACTCCTGTGTGTATCAAGGAGGGCCCACATACAGAAGGTGTAATATGTACCCTAGCAGAACACAGAACTTCAGTAATTACATTAATAAAATAAAGAAAATAGCCACATGCAGTCAAATGTATTACAGCATTTTTTCCTATCAGTCTATTTTGCTTGAGAAATAATATAGAAAAGAAATTTAAAGTAGAACCAGTAGTATTACATCAGTTAATTCTAATGTCAGCTTTTCTCTCTACATAAATTTCTCTAAGTTTAATGATTTAAAAACAGTGCAGGTTTTTATATGCTTTTCTTTGTAATGAAAATTAATGATTTGCTTCATAGTGTGAGACACAGATGCAGGTCATGAATAAAAACAATTGTAATGAGTAGTAAATGGGCATCTTTAAAATTTCAAATCAGATACCTTCTATATTCTCATCCCTGAATATGTTAATTAATTTCTGTCAATAAAATTTTTATATTTTTGAATTATTTGAACTGATGTATATTTTTATTTTGTGTATTTTATATTTTATAATATGAATATATGTATATGTAGTATGGTTCCTGTTCACTGAAATATTTATCTTATATTGTTTACTGGCAGGGAAGAGTTGAAACAACTTTTTTCACATGAAGGAATTTGATTTCAGAAGTTCCTTAGGGGGTCCTCATCAGCTCACTGTCCAAGTTACCCACTCTGCAAGGTGAATTAGTATTTGTGTCCCTCAGTGTGTGGTTAGTCCTTTTTTGCCACTGTGGCAAGGAATACCTTATTTAACCTCCATCTTCTTCATCTTCTTCCTTCTCACTGAGGTGATTGCCCTTCTCATCTATTTATATTATGGCTATACAGTCTCAAAATTATAAAGCTGTGAGAAAAAGAATAATCATGGTTGATGTTATAATTATGTCATCATGCCATTCAATATATTTTGCTTTTTTTATATTGGAGTATGTGTTTTAATGTAGTCGTATAAAGAAAAAACTTGGAACCTCAGTAAAAATAGACAATGTAAATTATTGGCCTTCTCCAACCTTGGCAGTATTTTTTGGCCTCTTAGTATTCCAGTATTTGATAAATAAAATAAACTTCAACATCAAAAAAAAAAAGAAATGTCTTATAGTTAAACAAAGCTATTATAATTGAAGCATATTTCTCGTGTGAGGTAATTGGGTAATATAAATGTTACAAGTGTTGTACAAATAAATGTTCAGTATATGGCATGCATGATCATACTTCTTTACAAATGGATTTTTATATTTATATATACATATATATATATTTGTATATACATGGTTGTTACTTAAAAGACTGAAAGTGTGGGATATTTCAGAAAGCAAATATTATAGTTGTCTGTATTGACTGACGTTAGAGGTTTTTTTAGACTCCAATTTCCATTGTTAGAATATATGTAAAGCAGACCTGGGATGTACCTCAGCAGTGCAACGCCTCCCTGGCAAGTGCAAGGACCTGAGTACGATTCCTGGTACCAAAAAAAAAAAAAAGAGAAAAGAATATGTATAAAGCATGTTTGTAATGTAATAAGATTTTATGTGATTGGTAAGATTGCTTTTTGTTGTTTTGTTATTCTTTCTGTGTTTTAGACAGGTTCACACTGTATTGACCTGGCTGGTATCAAAATTAAATATGATAACTAGAGGTTTTCTAAAAGTAGCTTATTTTATGTTCCTTTAAAAGGCCTGGTTTATACTCTCTAAGAATATACCTATACAAAAACATGGTACAGTATCTTTTTTAGTCTAGTTCAACATGTTCTGCATCAAAGTCACTTAAAAAAGGACCAAAAGGTCTAATTCAACTAGGAACATAATTATTACTGAATTACATTTAATCGAAGATAGCTATATTTCTTAAGGCATTATCATTGTGAAGATACACAAAGGAAGTGTGATGTTTCCAAAGAGTATTAAATACATGCTAATTTTTTATTTTAAAGAAGAAGTCCAGGGGATTAGTGGAGACTAGAACTTATTATCTCAGCAAATTAATATTTAATCATGTGCCACATTACAATGTTTGGGTCAATGGTGGACCACATATCCTTACTCTATATTGTATAGCCTAGTTGAGTATTAGGCAACACCATCGACTTCTGTGTAAGTATACACAGTATAATGTTAGTACAGTGATAAAAATGCCAGATACATTTCTCAGAACATTTCCCTGTCATCGAGCCATACATGATATGTGTCTCTATGAGTACTTGACATAAAGATTGAATAGAAATAAAATTACTTATTCATCCACAAATGGGCATCTGAGATGAATACACACTTCTCAGATGAAGAAATACAAACAGCAAATAAATATATGAAAAAATGTTCAACATCACTGGTCATTCAAGAGATGCAAATTAAAACAACACATTCCATCTCACACCAGAAAGAATGGCCATTATTAAGAAATCAACCAATAACAAATGCTGGTGGGGCTGTGGGGAAAAAGGAACCCTTCTGCACTGTTGGTAGGAGTATAGACCACTGTGGAAATCAGTGGAGATTCCTCAAAAATCTAGTAGTACAGGTTCCATTTGACCCATTCTTTCCCCTACTGGGTATCTTCCCAAAAGAATTAAAAGCATCATATCACAGCAGTATATGCACACCTATGTTTTTAGTGGCACAGTTTGTAATAACCAAGTCTTGGAAATGACACAAATATCTTATCAAATGGTGAGTGGATAAAGAAGATGTGTTATTTTTATACAATGGAGTACTCCTCTACCATAAGGAAGGATACAAGATATTTCTAGGAAAATGGATGCACCTTGAGTCCATACTCTTTAAGTGAAATAAATCAGACACATGTATGTAAACACCACATTGTTTCTCTGGTGGAGAAACCGAAAGTGTAAATGAGGACTAAAATGTATAATAGGTATTGTGAAATAGGAAGAAAATGTTCAGATGGGGAGCGGGGAAAGGAAAGAAGGGAAAAGTTAAAAGAAAAAAGGAAAACATGGAAACAAAGCTTTTGTAAATGGGGAAGGGAGGAGGGGTTTAAGGGAGGGTTGGGAAAGGGAAAAAATAAGTTATATCATGTATAGGTACAAATTCTATATAATGTGTGATTGTTATGTATATCTAAAATGTACCAATAAAATCATTGAAAAAGATTTTTCAAAAGAGGAAACAATGTTCTGTTTTTACAACTATGGTAAAGATTTGCAGTTTTCTGATTATAAAATCTCTTACGATTATGTTTAATGAGAAATACCAAAAACTGTTTAATAAAGACTAAACTTATGGTGTCTCATCATCCAAAAATGGCTTTATTAGAGGCATTTGAATAGGTTGTTTTTGCACTTTTCCTATCCACATATCTTACTAATTTTTTTCCTTTTCTAACAAACTGAGCTTATGCTATAAATACTTTATATTTTATTTATATAACATTCTAACATGATCATTTTCATATCCTTAAATATTGTGTAAAACAATTCTAATGTATATTAAAGAATTCATCATTTGAATAAACTAATTATTCCCCTACTAGTAAACTCTTAGATTATTTCCAATTTTAAATATAATACAGAACTTACCTAATAAATGTCATCGTACACAGCCCTAGACCCAACTCACACTGTTTTACTAATATAGATTCCTAGAAGTGGGGTCACTGTGTCAAAACTATATTCATTTTCTGTTGTCATCAGTGCTAGTATTATAAAAATAATTTTGCATTACAAATTATTTTTCCATTTCTCACTCTTTAGAGGTACTTATCTAATTGCAACCAACATTTTGGTTTAAATCTTTTTAGATATCTGAAAATACAAATATAAATATTTATAGAAATTGTTTTTACATATAAATTGTATATATATTGCCAAATTATTTCCCCATAGGTTCTGTCAACTTATTTTCTACCAATAATGAATGAGAGTTCATATACCTCAAGCCTCCTTCATCAGCTGCTTCTGCCTACGATACATTTTACCCTCCACTTTTTTTTTTTTTTTTTTTTTTTTTTTTTTTTTGGTTTTTCTCCGGTACCGGGAACCGAACTCATGACCTTGCACTTGCCAGGCAGGTGCTTTTGCCGCTGAGCTAAATCCCCAGCCCCTCCTCCACGTTATTTTAATCTGGGATTTTGCTTTGTGCAAAATGTAGGACTAAAAGTGGATTGGAGATGGAAACATTGCTTTTGAGTTGACATATGTCATTTTGATAACTGAAGAAATCTTTCCAAAACTCAGCAGATGTGAGAGGCAATAGGACAGTACTTAAGTATGAAGGCTTTGAACTCAGATATTTATTTCCTCAATAAATATTGAGCACCACAGTGCTGGCATAATGTACAGTGTGATGAACACAATAAAAATAGTCCATGGCCTCTTGAGATGTACTGTGTTGGTCAGTAAAAATAAGCAAATAAGTATCCAATAAGTTGACAAGTTGGAGACAAATTATAAGTGGATTTTATTAAGAGAAAAGATGGCATCAAAATTAGAGGCATCCAGGAAGTATTCTCTAGAGGGTGAGATCTGAGCTGAGTTCTATAGGGAAATTATAATGACACAGTATAAGAATGAAGTGAAAAGCATTCCAGAGAGAATGATTCCTGCAACATCCCAGAAGTTAGCAAAAGCTTTTAGTGCATTTCAGCAACCAAAAAATGAGTATAGCTAGAGTGTGGAGAACAATGGAGTCGCAGGGGGAACTATAATTAGGAAGACAAGGATCCATTCTCTCTTCATCTTATCATTTCCACCACCAAAATATATTCCAAATACATCTTAAGGCCTCTGCCCTGTGCAAGCCACTATCGTATTTGCCCTGGACTGTGCTCGTCACTAGCCCTTCTCCAGCCCAGTCTTCACAGAGAGCTAATGTTTTTTAAATATTAAACCAATTAATTATATACTATCTGCCTGCTTAAAACACTTCAACCATTACACATCAAATAAAATTTAATGACCTGGCCCCTCAGGACAGTGCAAGAGTCATATTCTAGTTCTTCAGCTTGGTGTGTATATGTTGAACAAGTTACTCAACTTGCTAAAGTTCACGTTCCTTGGCTTTGTAACACGAATAATAGTCATCTAAATTACATGAGTGGGGGATTAAATGAGATGATTCATGTTAAACATTTATCCTAACTCTTGATTTCCAATAATTATATAATAATTATATATGTATATAATAATAATATCTTTATAATTACTAAGAAAATAACCAAGCTTTCTTTTGAAATGGTTCAAGGTGGGGTTTGAATTAAAGTCAAAATTACAGAAAGCTTATATGAAGCTCCTTCACTTTGAATTTATTTGGAGTTCTAATAACTCCACCTTATAATCATTAGTTCTAATACAATGTCTTATTTTGCTATTTCACAATAATAGCAAAATAAGCTAATCTATCTTATTTTTTTTTTTTTTTTTTTTTGGTTTTTCTCCGGTACCGGGAACCGAACTCACGACCTTGCGCTTGCCAGGCAGGCGCTTTTGCCGTTGAGCTAAATCCCCAGCCCCTCTTATTTTTCTATTAACAAAATAAGATAATAGATATAGGAGTAGAATAAAAATATTTTTTCTATGAGCAACTTTCCACATGGCGTGTATGGGTTTAAAAAATCTTTTTCTCCCTACACAATTTTGATTTGTTCCTACCTTAAATGTCTCCTACATTATTATAGTGTGGTTCAGTAATTGATGGCAATCACCCCCACATCTTTGTGACTAAACATTATTAGAACACACTTACTGTAGAGACTTCCTCCTTTTTGGGCTTTGGAAAAACAAGTTAATGTTATGAGAGGCTTTGGGCAGGGCTATACAGCAAGGAGCTGTGGGTGACCTAGGACCTGAAGGAGAATAACAGCAAAAGTGGAGTCCCTCAGCCGCACAGCTACAAGACGTAAGTTCTTCAAACAACCTGGAAGTAGGTTGTTATCCAGTCAAGATTCCACATGAGCACACAG